TTCTCCGTGCGGGCTGATGGTGAGTGGCGGGAAGTGGGGGGCCTGGGGCGGCTCGTGGGGTCCCTGCCGGGAAGGGGAAGCTCGGGGTGGGGGGGAACCTCCATCGGAAGGACTCGGCCAGCGGAGAGCCTGGGAGGGAACGAGACAGACGGCTCTGCTGTGACTCAGTGGCCCTCTCCCGACCCTCCAGGTCTCCAGCGCCGCCCCAGTCATCCAGAACCTTCCTTTCTAGCCAAGGGGGCACCCGGGAGGGGCCGGTGAGCACGGGTCCTCAGTGCTGCCGCTAGCTCTCTCTGGAGCTCCCTGAAAATTCTTTGAAATGAAGTCACGTCTAGGGTGCCCTATTCTACCGAGGTTTGATTTTCCACCATCCATCACTTTTCAGCGTCTAATAAATGTGCCTTCAGGCGGCAAGGCCAGTGTTTGGCAGACTCCCTGAGATTTTGTCTGCTCAGGGAGATCTGAAGGATAAATGGGAATAAACTGGGTAAAGAGGGGAGGAAAGCGCACCCTTGGTGGAGGAAGAGCAAGTATAGAAGAGGCCTTGTTAGCGGTAGGGAGAACGAGGGAAAGGTATCAGACCATCAGACGTGGTCACGGCTGGGGCTGAGAGTGCCAGGTATGACTGTCCTATGAGGTGAGATAGGAAACAGAGCTAGAGGCTAGATCGTTGCATAACAGTGATTTTTGTTGTTCTTCGAAGCTGCATTCAGTTTTTAATACTTCCCTGAAATTAGCATGATCAGAACTCTGCACGATCAGTTCGGTTTAGAAAAGCTCATTCAACTCTGTTTTGATTCTGGCACAAAACCCCGTTGACTTGGTGCAGGAGGACCTGAAAGAAGGCAGCTTAAGAGTCAGTCGTTTCTAGGGCATCCAAGGTTGGGGCAAATTAGATTGATGAAGGAAAGAGAGCTCTCATCTAACTTAGGCGGCTTTGTGCGGATGGGTTTTTTAAATGTTTTTATTTAGCACTGTGTGAAACTAGAAAAACTGGACATGAGGAATTGTGGTGGTTTAAGGAAAGGGAATTTTTAGTGCATTTTATCCCAAGTGCCACTTGGAGAGCTTTTTGCTTTGGAATAAAAATGAATTATCTTTTTTATGTCTGTTGAAGATCACCATTATTCCTTTTAAGTTGAGATAGAAGTCACATAATATAAAATTCACCATTTTTTTTTTACAATTTAGTTATTTGGAGTCTGTTCGCTATGTTCGGTAACCAAAACTGCTGTCTAATTTCAGAACATTCTGGGGCCGGGGGTTGGGGGGGAGCGGGAAGCAGCCCATATTGACTGGCATCAGTCCACGAGTAATTCTCTTATTCTAGTGATTTTGCTTCATTGGCCAATTAAATTGACTTATTAAGGGAAAAATCTGATAATTTTAAAGAAGGCAAGTTGAACAACTTGGAGCTGTATTGACTTTCAAATTACATGTGTACTGAAGCCATTTTAATTCTGTTTAAGACATATTTGCCCAAACCCAAAGATTTTCGTTTCACTGCATTACAACTGTTTTAAGTGGAATGACAGGGAGGCAGGGACCAAGAGTGCCTTAGAGACTCACAGAGATCCTCTGTGCTGGCAGCCAGTGCTTACTCCACTGACCCACCACGGCCTTTTCCTTGATAACATGCTTAAGTACCACCACTTCCTTAGCCGTGTGGATGTGGAGGGTTAAGAGCTACCATGATAAGAGGAGGAATAAGAATGGTTCCACCAACCTGATGTGTTTCAGGTGCATATTTAAAAAGAATTGCACAGAGATTATTTCTGGGGGGTGGGGGGAGTGAAAAACAGCTGAAAATTTTAGTTTACCTCTGACTAATGAAACATGCATCTCATAATACTATGAATACATTGCTGAAAAATCTTCAAATTAACTGGATCCAAATGAACTGTTTGGGATATTTAATGAGTAGCTACCCTATGCCAGGCGCTGGGCTTGCTATTGTGGATACAATAAGGAGAAACAGGTTTTTGTAACCAGTGAATTTAAAATCCAGTGGGGGAGATTCCTTAAGCAAATAAGGATATGAATGGAGTGAACTTGCAGGCGTTTTTATTGTCCCCATTGTTGAAGCAGTTTTTAAAAATATTTTTACAGATCGCAATGATAGACACATAACCATCCACCCC